CCTGAGTAGCTGGGATTACAGGCATGTGCTACCACACCCTGCTAATTTTGTATTTTTAGTAGAGATGGGGTTTCTCCTTGTTGGTCTGGCTGGTCTCGAGTTCCTGGACCTCAGGTGATCCACCCGCCTCGGCATCCCAAAGTGCTGAGATTATAGGCGTGAGCCCCCATGCCCTAGGCTACTCTTTACATTCTTTATGTAACTCTACCATCTTTTCCATCCGATTGAATTGCTGCAGATGTTTATTGATGCTAATAATTTTGGTGTTTGTATTCTTGAAGATCCATTTTTTTCGTTAAATTTATGTGTCATAATGTCAGAATAATTTTTTTTTTGCCATTCTTTCTGTTAAATGTGGGGTTCATTTTTCCGGAAGCAGGGGGGGTGTCTTCTGTAGGTATCTTTGTTCTAGCAGTGGTATAGGTTTTGCTTAGCGTTCCATCATTCATAGGAACCAGGATGCATAGATTTTGTTCATTATATTGGTCACCTTGGCCTGCCATAACAGAATACCACTAACTAGGTGGCTTAAACAACAGAATAATTTACAGTTCTGGAGGCTGGAAGTTCAACATAAAGATGCTGGCAGGTTTGGTTTCTAGTGAGACCTCTTTTCCTGGCTTGCTGACAGCTGCCTTCTGGTCTCACATGGCTTTTGCGCTATGCGTGCACATTCCTGGTGTCTCTTCCTCTTCTTATAGGAACACCAATTCTATTGGATTAGGTTCCCATTTTATGAATTCATTTAACCATAATTGCCTCCTTCAGGGCCCTGTATCCAAATACAATTACACTGGGGTTAGGGCTTCAACATACGAGTTTTAAGGGACACAATTTAGTCCATAACAATTGTATTTCCTGTTTATAATGCTTTCTTTCATTTATTCAGCCAGCATTTATTGAGTATCTATTATGAGCCAGACAGTAGGGCCTGGAGAGTAAAAAGTCTTCAAAGAGATTACTGTTTATTAGGGGAGACAGTTAGATAAACAGATGATTGCAAAATAGTGTAACTATACTGTGATAATGGTAGTATGAAAGCATCTGAACGAGGTACGTAACCCAGACTGGGTAGGGGGAGTCATAGAGGGCTACCCAGGAGATATAATTCCAGAATTGAGTCCTGAAAAATAAGGGGCAAAAGATAACCACCAAAATGATCCTTGGTTTGATCCTGAATTAAACAAACTGTAATTATAGGACATTTTGGAATAATTGGGAAAATTTCAGTAGGGACTACATGATAGGTAATATTGGGTCAATGTTATATATTTTGGGTGTGCAAACCCATGTTGTTGAAAAAAGTTTTTTTAAGAAATTAAAAAAGTGTTTTGAATGTGATTATGATGTTTCATTATGTAGAAGGATGTTCTTGTTCATAAGAAATACTTGCTGAAGTTTTAGGACCTGTCATGATGTACATGTGGCAAAAAAAAGTATCAACTGGTCTAGATGACAGGTAGATATTCATTTTATTATTTTGTTAACTTTTTGTTGGTTTGAAATTTTCAAAGAAAAAGTAACGGGTCAGGGTAGGAACAGGGAAGAATTAGCCAGGCAACAAATGAAGGAAAAGACATTGCTCAGAGATGAGAGAGAAAAGCAACCAAGATGTGAAGTGGAGAAGTGAGGCCAGATCAGAAAAGGCTCTTATACTGTGTTAAGGAGTTTGGGTTCTTCTATGATAGAGGTAGTGAAGGATTTTAAGGGAGGAGAGAATCAAATGACACAATTTTTATTTTATTTTATTTTTTTAGGTAGACTCTCACTCTGTTGCCCAGGCAGGAGTATAGTGGCACGGTCTTAACTCACTGCAATCTCCATCTCCTGGGTTT